CCCACCCTGCTGCCACTCCTCAGCCCCTCCCCCCTTGCTGTTGCTAGGTGCTGATTCTGGCCAGGCTAGTCCTGCGCCCCACTGTCAGTGCTGCAGCACTGCCCCTTGACACATTGTCAATGTCCCCACGTGTCACCTATGCCCCCCACCAATACACTTACCTGCAGGCAGCTGCAGAAGCTGCTCTCTTCCCTGCTCCTGCAGCCATGTGTGTGTGCATGCACATGCATGCATGTCACACCCCCTGCCTCCGATTGCCTTCTCCCCCCACCCTCCTCCCTCCAGCTCCAAGCAGCTCCTTGAAAGCTGGAACTCTAACAGCTGCAAAGGGAAAACTGTGGTTTCCTGCTTCAAAGGGGAAAATCCACGATTTTTTCCTTTAAAGTGGAAAATCTGTATTTTTCTGTGGGGAACAGAAAACCCAGATCCCTGCTGGTTATCTATCTGAAATACAATTCAAAACTCAGGCATCTTTTTTCATGCATGCTCTTTCAACTAAGTTAGTCTATGGGTGAAAAATGAATCTGTAACAATGCCGCCTTTTTTGCAAGCAGTGCTTGCTGAAATGCAAACAAGCCAAAACCCAGTAAAAGGATAAACTCAGGCAAGTACACTGTGGTGTGGATCACATCTTTATAACCTACCAGCATACAATTTTGCAAACTGAATAGACATCAAAGTTGACATATTTGCTTTTTAAGCAAACATTGTAACAAGAAGAAACCCAGAAAGGTTACTTTAGCACTGCTTCCCCACAGCTCCTTTTGCACTGTTCATCAGTGTCTTCAGAACAGTGGGCCAGCTACTGACAAACTACTATCATCTAAAGAGATCAGTACTCAAGTCTGTTATGACAGCTTCTCTCACGTTTGCCTTTCCCCTCTTATTTGACAATGCTAGGAGGAAATATGCTGCAAATCAAAGGAAGCCACCGCAGCTCCAAGTGGCAAGACAGCACTTCATGTGTATAAAACATGAAACTTAATCTGATTCAACCACTCACACCAAGAAAACACATGAATTGAGGAGGAGTAGGGGCATCATGGACACCACTGGCAACCACTTCTTATGGCGCACAGTTTCTCCATCTGGAGCTTACCTCTTAAATCCTGTTGTGTGCGGGCACCTGCCATGCTCTGCCGAGGCATTCGGAGGGATGTGCGTAGGGGTGTGTGCCTCTGCTCATCCAGGTAAGCTAGATCTTCTAAGTGGGCTGAGCTGGTGGCTGCCAAGAGAAAGCAAACAGCTAAATCAGATCTGGCTCCAAGTTCTAGTATTTTTGTTCATATAGTTTTCTTTTTTAAACAAAACACCTACATTTATAACTATATTAAATCAACACAGCTGAGATGAAGTAAGCATAGAAATGATATTATGGATTACTACTTTCAACTTGACATGCCATAAATCCTAGGGTGGACAAAAATCCAAGTGTAAAATATTATTTGAGAAGCTTTATTCAAATTGCTTAGGCATGGAAAAAATTGTGCGTTTCCTTCCTGCTCTTAGGTTCTTAAAGGTAGAAATTACAAGTAATATGGATAGCTTGTCCATGAAGCAAGTTCAGAAAGACAGGACACAGTAATTTCACACAGCTAGGAATAAGGAGATGTGGAAACATTCCCAACACATTTTACACTGGCTTAGTTTCCTGATGTTGTTCATCAGTGAAAAAGACAAAGAGAAAAGGAGATACTTATACCTGTCAACCCTCTTCTGTTGAAAAAAATATAATTTAATTGCTTAGGGACGAAGTTTAATAAAGATCATCAATCACTTGCCATATCAAAAGGAATTTAACAATGACAGTTAAGTGAATTGCAACAAATCTCTTCATGAATCATTTTAGATCAACTCAGTTTGGACACTGATATCTATCTATTCGGACAGGTAGAATGACTTACAGAAATATAATACCCCAACAGGCAGGCAAAAAGACATACAAAAGATAAAAAGAAGAGACTTTCTGTTCTAAAAAAGCTGTTACTATACAAACATCATCTGTGCATGATAGAACTTTGTTCCTCTAATAATACATGATTAATTGGTAGCAATGGATTGCTCTTTGTTGAAAGCACCACCCTTATGTGAATATAAATAGAAATGTCCTGTATTACTTGTCAGTTTTTGAAAGGTCAGGGATAGATTTTCAAGTAATACAGAGCAAATTATTTTATTCCTTCCAATCTGAAATTAAGGACTAAAAATTGAGTGACACACCACCAGTTGGCAGATGCACTACAAGTGCTTGGGCTACTTCTGCAGGGACTATGCTACAGGCAAAACTTCCATGTGGGATCAAAACAAGTAACTTCTACGTAGGATGCATTAAATAGCTTAAAGGATACATTCATCCTGAGTTTGAAAAATACTTATCTTTGGATCAGATGGCCTCAGGGATTACTTTGATTACATCTGGTATGCTTTATCAAAATTGTGACATTTAATATGCCCATTTCAATGATTGATTCTTTAAGTGTTATTTTTTATTCAGACACCTAATGATTGAAAATATTTATAAACAGGAGTTTTAGTACCAGAGGGGAATGGAAAGCAGGTTCCCACTGACACGTTGCAGTAAGTGAGCAATATATCACAAGCTATTTCAAATCAACAGAGACAAATGGTTTCCTTAGCAGAAAAAAATGTAGCGCATACCAGAAAGAGAAATGATGATGAGCATCTTTTGTAAAATATAAAATTTATTGTGATATTCTAATAGTAATCACGAAGCCTCATAACAGTGAGACTGGCTGAACAGAGAGGAAGGTGGGAAGCCTATAGAAACCCCTACCTGTAAAGCCTATAAGGGCTGGAAGACGGGAAATACCTCTAAGGAGGATTATACATCACTGGCCCATACCTGCAGGGAGCGGACCAGAAAAGCCAAGGCCAAAACTGAGCTCAAAATGGCTGGACAATAAAAAGTCCTTAATCAGCCACGTGGGAAGTCAAAAGAGAAATAAGGGCAACATTGGACCTCTGCTGAACCAAATGAAATGCACCCAAGAGTGCTAAAAGAGTTAGCTGATATCATAGTGTGACCAATGGCGATATCTGAGAACTCATGGTGCTCAGGAGAGATTCCCTGAAGACTGGAAGAGGGCCAATGTGGTGCCTATCTTTAAGAAAGGAAGGTAGATCCAGGAAACTACAGACCAATCAGTTTGACCTCAATTCCTGGAAAGATCACAGGAAAAATTAATAAAGAATTAATTAACAACAGGCTAACAGAAGGCATCATCCTGAGAGACAGCCAACACGGCTTCATTATGGGTAGGTCGTGCTTGACCAACCTCATCTCCTTTTGTGACCAGGTGACATGTCACCTGGAGAGGGGAAGAAAGGCTGATGTAATCTATTTGGATTTCAAAAAAGCCTTTGATTTGGTCTCCCATGATGTTCTCATGACAAAATTGGGGAACTGTAGCCTCGACAACCTTACAGTTTGATCACTGGGGAACTAGCTCCATGGTCGGACCCAGAGAGTGATAGTTAATGGAACCGAGTCACCATGGCACATAGTAACCAGTGGCGTCCCTCACGGTTCAGTACTTGGTCCAGTACTCTTTAGCATATTCATAAATGACCTGGATGCGGGTGTCAGAAGTAGACGGGCTAAGTCTGCAGATGACACCAAATTATGGGGAAGCGTGGTCTCATTAGAGGATAGGCTGGGGATTCAGGCTGACTTGGACAGGCTTGCAAAGTGGTTGGATCAGAACCTGATGAATTTCAACATAGAGAAATGCAAGGTGCTCCACCGTGGGAGAAAGAACCCACATCATGTTTATAGGCTCAGCAATGCTATGCTTGCTAGCACCATGACTGAAAGAGACTTGGGGATCATGACTGACCACAAGATGAACAAGAGCCACCAGTGTGTTGCTGCAGCCAGCAAAGCAAACAAAACTCTGGCTTGCATCTACCAATGCACCTCAAGCAAGACCCAGGAACTCATCCTCCCGTTTTACTCTGACGAAGTCAATGGTCACAAACTGCTGGAAGACCATTTTAGACTGGACATAAGGAAAAACTTCCTTACTGTCCAAGTCTCCAGAGTATGGAATAGACTCTCCCCAGAAGTGGTGCAAGCACCTACTCTGGACGTGTTCAAGAAGCTTTTGGACGATTATCTTGCTGGGGTCATCTAACCCCAGCTGACTTCCTGCCCTTTGGGCAGGGGGCTGGACCCGATGATCTCACGAGGTCCCTTCCAGCCCTAATGTTTATGAAATCTATGACATAAATAATGCTACCATAGGACAGTACTTGTGTTTACAAGTACTAATTAACAGGGGAGTTAATTAGTTTACTGTGGCCTAATAGATCCACATTTGTAGATGCTGAGACTGTACTGCACAGCTAATTAAGCAACTCCACAGTAAAAGTATCCTGTAGATGTGCCCGGTACTAAGGTCAGAATCTCACATTGGACTGAAATCCAAATGCAGTTAGCCATTTATTTTTATTTTTTCCTTCCAGTTTAGAATAAAAGGCACCTGTACCCAGGCTCTGAGTACCCTGCCTTTTATCTAAAATTACAAAACCAAAATGCAATGTGACCAACTTACCCTTCTACCAAGCAGAAGCACACCAGGAAATACCAACATCCATATACACCACAGTACACGTCAACTGTTTTTCACTCTTCAAAGGCCAGGTAAGAAGGCCACTTGTGCATAGTGAGGTATATACATCCCTGTTGCACTGGCATAGGAGGTGCATGCGGGTGCATGTGTACCCCCTGAGACTGGCCATCACTGACGATGCCAGTGGCACCTGCGGGCAGTTGCCACTCGCCACCCTCCCCCCCGACTGTCAACACCACTCTGGCCACATGCAGCCAGTCCCGTTTGGCCCACCTTTGCCACCAATGTCAATGTGGCCACCTGTGGGTGGTCCTCGCTGCTACATCCTGCCACCAACACCACTACCTGCAGGCGGTTGCTGTGCCCCCCCAGCCTTGGGAGGCATGAGGAGTTCATGCCTGGTCAAGTGAACTGAGTCACTTTTGTTCAGATTTAATTATCAGCAACAAGGCATTGAAACACTTCCCTCACCTTGGCAATCTGTCTCTAAAATGACACCAATCAACTGGCCCTAAGCCTCACTCTAGACAACATGAACTGTCCCCTCAAGAGGAGGCAGCCAGCTTGGCTGAGGGGCTGCAGCTGTGTGCAGGCTCCCGAGGAGTCAAGAATCACAGCAGGCAGAACCAGAGGAAGGTGTGGAAGAGAAGCACCTGAATGGGAAATGCTGGGCTATGAGAGGGGACAAGCCTGCTATGGGAAGGTTAGAGCCACAGGGGAACCCCCCCAAGTGTATAGGATACCAAGATTTATCTGGTTTATTTGTTTTATTTGTTAAAAGACTGTATATTACTGAGGAATGCTGAAAGGTGCCCCAGGGAGCTAAAGCCATCCAGTTTAAAAGACTTTATCACTGGGGGACGCTGAGAGACAAAGGGGGAACAAAAGCCTGGTTGAAGAGGCCCTGAGGTAGTGGCCTGCTACAGGCTCAGCCATCAATCATTAGAATGAACCCTGATGCAGTGCTAAAATTGATGGAGGGGCTGTAGCAGCAACAGGCTTTACAACAGCAGCAGCAGGTCCAGCAAAGGATGCAAAAGGAACAGCAACACTTTATGCTCCTGTTGCTAGAACAGGTAAAGCCTTGAAAGGGGGTGGGGGACCTCAGGTTCAGATGGATGCAGGGAGCACACTTATGAAAAGGGAGGCGGATGATTTAGTTGGTGATGGTCCTGCTTTGAGCAGGGGGTTGGACTAGATGACTCCCTGAGGTCCCTTCCAATCCCAATTTTCTATTATTCTATGGCAACCCCAAAGATTTCTTAGAGACTTTTGAGTAGGTGGTCAGTGAGGCCGCGTGATTAGGGAGCTATTAAGTTACAGCCCTACCAAAATAGTGATGCTGAGGCTGCCTATCAGGCCCTGGAGCTGATCCCACACCCACCTATGACACCATGAAGTCACTCATTTTTGACTGCATGGGACTTGTGAAGAAGGCCTACAGGCAGCAGTTCCAAGGGGAGCCATTAGACCCACATTCTTAGCTTCAAACAGTGGCCTTAAGGATTTGTGCAACCAGAGGCTGAAACCAGAAACTAACTCTACCTCAGAAATTGTGGGACTGCTGACCTGAGAGCATTTTAGACTGATCCTGCCAGTGGGGGCTCAGGAATGGATTTGTAGACACTGAATG